AATGATGTTGAGGTTTCTTTGAATCTATAGTATAAGGAAGAATTCGAAAGGATTTTGGCATATAATGTGAGAAAATTGAGAAGCAAAATAATTCCTATGGTCAAAGTGTAGTGGAAGCATAAAACTGCTAGAGATGCTACATGGGAGAAGGAATCTGATATGAGGCAGCTCTATCCAGGTTTAATCTGACTCATTGTGCTTTGAGAATGTCAAAGATGACATCTTTTTAAGGTGGGTAGATTGCAAAACCCATAAATTTTTCAAATTTTTTTTTTTTTTGATCTAGAGAAGTCCTAATCATAATGATGTATTTTAGCTTCTATAAATTTTTCATAATTTTGGGCAATGTCAAAATTTCTTAAGAAATCAGCATCTGTCAGTACATGTGAGGTTTTAGGACCATCAGGTGTTTGTTTTGTAAATTGATTTAACCATAATGTTTCGGATATGATTAGATAATCAATAATTTTTTTTTTATAATTTTTAGATTTTTGGATTTAAAGATATAAAATATTTTATAACAAATTAATATTTTAAATTTAAATAATTAGAATACATAATATTTAAATAAAAAATCTTATTCCACTCATCCACTTTTTTAAATTCCTTTTTTATATATATGGCAAAATGATTAACAAAGAACGGCTAAGGGAGTTAGAGAAAAAAAGGCATAGAAAGAAAGAGAAAACACTAATTTTGGTGGACTTCAGGCCATTTTTGTCCATCAGTTTAGTTGGGAAACTTGTTCATCTCAAGATAAGTCACATTATTCTTATCTCAATTTTTAAAAATGCATAGTTTTTGACAACTTTTTTGCTTAAAATTTTGTATTCGTTAGTGAAAAATATGGATAACTTTACATAGTTAAAACTTTTACCGCGTAACTTTTTATATATTTTAGAGATTATGATTATGAGAAAATCTTTTCATTTCCCTATTTTTAAAAGTTTTATTTTAGTAAAGGGGAGATTAGGAGAAAATCTTTTCATTTTTGAAAATTCAACCAGTAATGTTTGCCATTATAAAAAAGGGGGATATTATTGCAGATCTGTTTTCATGGATTAAAATTTTGATCATAGCAAACATTCTTGATTTTCTACGACTTCCTTGCCTATTAACTTTTTAGGTCCACAAGATCGAGTGCAACTTAAGCTAGCTCAAGATTGGGTAGATTAAGTTTGAGTCAATTTGTATTTGTTCTCTTTTTTGAGTCTATTGTAAACAATGTGGTTCCTGATGATAAGTAACCTTGCGCACACACACTTTGGGAGAATTTCTGATTATTTTCTATAGTTTACTATTTTTGATAACATCATCAGGGACGATATTTATATCAGCTTGGATGATCGGTTCAAAAATAAAAATCCTAATTATGGCATCCTTATTAAGGCAGCCATTATTAAACACATCGTCCTGAACGATTTTATATCGGCCAGGATGATAGGCTCAAATCAGAAAGAATCAGCTGCCATGTCTATTTAGGTATTACTTATTTTTGGACATCGTCCCGGGCATCGGCCTGGCCGATACAGCATAATTTTTTTTAAATTAATCTAGTATTTAAAGAAAGCAATTACTAATTGCACGATCACATCGGCCGGGCCGATCGCAAAATCGGCCAGGATGATATGACTTAAAAAATTATCTAATTGTCCCAAATCGACCGGGCTGATTGAGCAAAATTTATGCTGATCGGCCATGCCGATATTCATATTGGCATGGACGATAATGTTAGTTTTGCAAATCTATTTAAAGACCTCTTTATTTCTCATGAAGAGTGTCTTTAGCAGTCATTATAGCTTCGTTTTTTTGGAGGGAACTTGAAGAGAGAGCTTGAAAGGGAGAGAGGAAATGGTGAAGTTTGAGAGAGGGAGAAGATCATTAGAGGGGGTTTCAAGGGAGTGTGGAGGGGGATTCCACACGGTTGCTACGGTAAGCTTGCACCTTAGTACCATCGGACTCAAGGCTTTTCTTGAGGGAAGTTCTAGGAAGAAGAAGATCTCTTTGAATTCAAAGGACCCGGTTACTCCGCCGCACCAGGGAAGGTAGAAGTGATTTTGTAAGGGCTTCTCCGCCTAGCTGTGGGGGCTAAAGGAGAGACACTGAGTTTAGTGCAATACTTGAAGGGTGCCTCCGAGGAGTGGACGTAGGTCAAGGTTTGATCGAACCACTATAAATCCAGTGTGTTCTTTCCTTTATCATTTTCGCTTTTAATTTCCGCACTTTAATTTTTGTGGTGAATCTTGGTTTGTGTTTTGATTGCTGAAAGTTTTTATTTAAAATACTGATTCACCCCATTTAGTTAGCCTTAGGACTAGTTAATAAGAGGTCTAACATCCCTAACGAACTTTCAAGGGCTTCTCCGCATTATTGTGGGAGCAAAAAGATAGTCACTATTGTTTAGTGTAATACCTGAAGGAATTTTTAAGGAGTGGACATAGGTCTAGTTGGTCCGAACCATAATAAAATTTAGTGTTCTTTTATTCTCTTTTATTTTCTGTATTTTTATTTTAAGCACTTTAGTATTTTATGGTTAAAAAAACTTTTGTGAAAATCATTTTCAAATAACTATATATTTTAAGGATCAGAGATTAATTTTTTAGAAATGGTTTACAAAAATTCCAAGAAATTTTTAAATAACTAATTCACTTCTCCCTCTTGGTTAGTCTTGGAACACTTTTTTTAGGTCTAACAACCTATTTAGACTTTCATAAGAGGGTCCTTATTTGGTGGCAGCTATAGTCAACCCCAACACCTTCAAACTAAAGGATATCATTGGAAAAAACACTCCCTTGGACTTGGAAAGTTGAAACATTCGCAAGTATTATCACTAGATGTTTATAATACTACTTATCTTATGTTATGTATTTTCTTCCAAGTTATTGTGTAATCCCTGTATATATCTCTTCTATGTTAAGTATGATGTAACACTAATATCCCTAAGTCATATTAGGGAACTATTGTATTGGCTTATATAATACAGTGATATGTTGTTTCGTCCTTTATGATATTATCTTCTTCTTTAAATAGATTAAAAATGATAATTAAAAGCTAATAACAAATATAATCTCTTTATTCATGATTTGAGAAATATATAATCTTCATTGTATCTCAATCACTGGATGATTAGTTCTAGGGTAATTTGATCTTACCTCTTTTACATATGTTATTATCATCAAACAATGCTTGACTAACAATCTCAGATAGGTCAAAACATCTTATAAGGATATCTCTCATATTCCCTTAAGCTAAATGATTTCACTAAAATACTTTTTATCATTCAAATTGAAATAAAATTTAATAAGCTTAATATATATATATATAACAATTCCTTATTATATTCCTTAATATGTTACATACATCATATAAGAACATCAACTTCTAATACATGCAATACTAATAATAATAATAAAAAAGTGATACAACCAACAATAAAGAAATATTGCATAAACACAACATGATCGTCCTCAAGAGCAAAGACTTTATGCATCTCACTTTCAATTTCATCATATTGAAAACTTAAGAAGAATCATCAGAAGCCTGGCTAAGTGTCAACCCCTTAACTTCAGCTCCAGTCTTGCATTGCACTAGGAGCACTCCTTTCAAAAATTCTCAGATAAAGCTTTCCTCTGTATATTCCCGTTCCAAGGCCTTCACCTCCACATCATATATGTGATCGCGAGCTTCCTGAATATGATCATGAATTATCATCTTGAAGACTACAAACCTCTTGAATTCTTCTATGACTTTAAGAGTTGATATTTTTTATTTGAACTTAGTCTTGAATAAAACAATTTCTTTATCATATAGTAGACTATGCTAGCTCTTATGATCACCTTCAAGGATTGCTATCTTCTACTTATGGATCTAATGATCTTTCACATGCTAATTAATTATTGTTTGTGCATCCACCAATTCAATATGAATGCCATATATCTATTAATTATGCAAAGAGATTGAAGTTACTATACCAGCTAACTCTGCCCCACACTTTGCCAGCTGCTCCTCTACTATTTTCATCTTCTTGATCATACCATCATACTTCCTCTTATACTCTCTTTGAATATACTTGACTTCACAAACTCCTTGTTCTAGTCATTCAAGTCTTTAATCAATTCAATTTCAAGATCCATACATTTCACTAACTAAAATAATAAGAAAGAGTGTAATGGACATATCATTATAAAGGTGTAAAAAGAAAAATAAAAAAGAAATGAGAACTCACCAGTTCATCAGCTTGTCTGCATCCAACACATTGATGTTTAAAAACATCTTCTAGAATGTGTAACATGGATGAAGAATAATTATAGATGCATACTGGTACAATATTAAGACACAATTTTTCTACTTTATTGCAGCGAATATTCTAGCCCGCATCATGTGTATTTTAGTTCCCTTGAGGAACACGATATTTCAAATATGATTAATACTATTATAAAGGTTATTCTCTCTTGCAAAAAAAATTAGATAATCTAAAATGAACTTCTTCTCATTAATATATATCTTGAATGTCATATTATTTTGGAATTAATCATGATTAATTCCTTATATACTATGGCTTAGCTTGATGTAATAAAAATTTATTTTTTATTTTAAATTTTACAATCATGTTCAAATAAATATTATTTTTAAAATTTTCTACTATACATTTATCTTTTTTCTATATTCTTTTTTTATTTATTTGAATTTTTCTTTAATAAGATCTTTGATAAAATTACTTGTAATGATAAACTTTTGAATTGTTTTTTTAATTAACAAAAATTTTTAATAGAATTTAATATTCTATTAATTTTTTTAATATTTTTAAATTTAAAATTTTATTTATCTATCTTTAAAACAAGTGAAATTAAAATATGGCTTAATTTATGACAATTTTATTACTATTTTTTAAAATAAAATTTTAGTATAATTTTTTTTTAACTAAATTTTTTTTACCTAAAAATTATTTTAAAAAAACACTGATAAAATTATCGAGAACTAATCCCAATTCATTTCGCCTTCATTAAATGCAATAAACCATCGGAATTTATGGTAGTTCGGGTTCTGCCATCGTTGCTATATATTCTTAACACAAACCCTAAAACTTTCGCCGCCGTCTACCTCCGCAGCCATGGGTCGTATGCATAGCCGGGGGTATCCCTGCTTTCCTTGCGTCAAAATTTTACATTTCCTTTGTCTTTCTTGTTATCATTTCCCTAGCGGTTACTGATCTGATTATCCGTTTTTCTTACTCAGAAAGGGTATTTCGTCTTCGGCTTTACCTTATAAGAGGACTCCTCCGAGCTGGCTCAAAACCTCTTCCCAGGATGTAAGTTCTTGCTGCATCTGGCTTCGGCCTATTCAACCTCATTTAATGAATCATATGTGTTTATGAGTCTCGTGATGCTTAGGTGGAGGAGAACATTTGCAAGTTTTCGAAGAAGGGGCTGACGCCCTCACAGATTGGTGTTATTCTACGCGATTCTCACGGTATTGCTCAGGTAAAGAGTGTGACTGGAAGCAAGATTCTCAGGATTCTCAAAGCTCACGGTATAGCCTCATTTATATAATTTATTTTTTTTTTCATTTATGAAGCTTGTTTATCATACATAGGATTTAAGTAGTGGTCATGTAAATTCCCCTTTTATTTCTTTCTCTTGTTTTTCTGGTGATTTTCTCTAGGTCTTGCACCGGAGATTCCTGAAGATCTGTATCATTTGATAAAGAAGGCCGTTGCCATCAGGAAGCATTTGGAAAGGAACCGCAAGGATAAGGACTCAAAGTTCCGGCTTATCCTTGTGGAGAGCAGGGTCCATCGTCTGGCTCGTTACTACAAGAGGACTAAGAAACTTCCACCCGTTTGGAAATAGTCAGTATCTGTTTCTTGATGAGTTTCATTTTTTTGCCAACTTAATTTTGTGAAACTTGTTTTTATCTTTGATCAATTTCAAAGTTCTTAAGAAGTCTCTATTATTTTTATTTTGCAATTTCTCTGCTTATTGCTCTATTTTGTAGTTAATTGGTTGAATTAATTGTAATACTTTTGAAACTTGTAGTTCATTGTCGCAGAAAAAATCTTCAATCATGTGAGCATTGAATCATTTCTATCATTGCAATCGTTGCATGGAATTATTGTTATATGTTGAGTTGTATTGCTTATGATCCCATTGTCGTAAAGGGATTTTTGGGAATCATTTTTATTATGTTATTATTATTTTTTTAATTTTTATTTTTAATATGTAATAAAAAATATGTTTGGTTCCCTATAGATATTTAAAAAATTAAATAAAATAGAAAAATCTTGAATGAATGTTCCTATTAGGGTTCTTGATAGGGATACCTTGACTTCAAAATAAACATTGTTATCCTATCTTGTGTGTGTCGTCGGATAGGCTAGCGACTGTGAAAACTTTGCTGCAAAATTTTTTATGTGGTTTAGGGAATTAATAAGGTTGATGGAGCTGTTTTGACAGAGGAGAGGGATGTAGGAGCTTTTTTATGGTGATTGTGTGGCGTTGCTCTTTGTCAAGGCAATCCACAAAGCGTATGTTGTCCTCAAGATTTGGATAGAAGACGTTGCTATGGGCGGCAATTTGGTGTCATACAACTTTTTCATTCAAATCCACTGATATCATTGCTGGCGTTCTCTTTTTTTTTTTAATTTCCATGTTATTTTTAATTCAAGCTAAACCTTGGAGGCTTCTTCCATACTTACCACTTTGTTTCGATATTGCTAGTTGTAATCTCATATGCATCTTTCTTAAGATCCTTTTTATCATATATTCATCCTTATTGACATGTTATTACACACACTTGCTGATTGATTTATTATTCATTATATGATTTCCAAAATTTGTATCTTTAAAGTTCTATTTAAATGAATATGGATTGTTTGACACAATTAAGTAATTAAAACAAGTAAACATACTAAAAAATTACAACAACATAAATAATACAATCCTTTAAAATACATCCTCGGGCATGGCAGGTAAATGATGCCTACTAGTTATTGTTAATAGCTTTAATAAGATCTTAATCAGCTGAAAAAGAAGAAATAAAAAAAATTAGGTGACCAGTTTAGCTTGCAACTAATAGTATTGCATAAGGAAACAAAGAAAGTTGAGTAGTACCACATATTTTGCATTTAGTGATATTTCTCTTATAAGAGGTTTAACTAAGCCGGCCAAAAATGAATCATAGCTTGCAACCCTTCATAAATTATTTTAAGACAACCTTGAGGGTATGTTTGTAAAAGCTATATTCTCTAGCTTGCACATGAGAACGAATGGTTGACTAAACAATGATAGTCTTGGCCATTTTGATAGGTTGGATTTGACATCAAACTAGTTGAAACATACTAAATGCTGCTAATGGGAATATGCACATAAATTATACGATGGTGTGTGCATAAGATATACATTATGGAGTTTGCAACCAGTAGAATAATAGAAGGAAAAAGAGTCGTGGAGCTCAACTTATTTTGCATTTTGTGATATTTCTTGTGTAAGAGGTTCTATAGAACAAATCAAAATTGAATTTTTGCAAGCAATTTTTCTTTAAAAATTATTTTAAGAAAAACTTTTGAGTGTATTCATAAAACAATTATGTCTAGCTTTCACATGAGAAGGAATGTTTGACCAAAGAATGTCAATCTTGGGCCTTTTAATAGGGTTGTATGTATATTAAAATGGCTGAAACATACCACAAGCTACCAATGGCATATGCACATAAACTATGCGATTTTAAAGTTTCATAAATGATTAATGGTGCATGCTAAGGATGTAACTTGTGGAGTTTATCTTTTTGTACTTGAACTGTTTGTGTTGATTTTTTTTAAAGAGGCCTGTTTATGTAGTGTGTCATAATTGCATGATTTACTTGTCTTCAATTTCTTTATTATTTTATTTTCTAGGAATTATTTAGATGTCTTTATTAGTATTCCTTATGGCACATATCAGTATTTAAGTATTTTTGTTGCTTATATTGTAATATTCATTTGCATAGTAGGCAATACTTAATAAGATATTACAATACAAATGTCTTATGCAGCTATAACGCATTGTGGCAAAACATTAAAAATCATTAGTAATTTACTATAATGAACAATATATTAAAAGAATTCCCAGTGCTTAAAGGCACTATGAGTGTTAGATGAATAAATTTATATATACCAGTATCATGAGCTATCTCCCAGAACATGGAGAGGCTCGATGTGTTAGTTGTGTAGCAAGGTGTGGGGTGACAAAGGTGTATGCTATTTGTTCTATTGATAGTGCAAGACACATTGCCAGTGTGGTGTGTTCTATTTGCTTTATGCATTTCTTATTTGATTAACTCTTTCATTTTTATTTAATTTGAAGAAACAGAACTATAATCTTATTATTTAAGGGTGTTAATTCATACTATTCCATGTTTTCATTCATTAGTTAAAAATTTAAGTTAATTTCAAACTTTTAGGAATGATTCGCAGTAGAAATACGCTGTTTTTTGTTTGGTCTAATTTAGCTGTTTTCATTACTATGATAGCTTATTTTTTAATATAGTTATATTTTTTAGATGTTTATGTTTATTAAAGCATTCTTATGTTCTATTTATATAAGATAATATTGATATAGTTTTTTGATTTAGAATATTATTTTATATCAATGAATTATTAATAATTTGTCTATAATTTTTAATGGTTTCTACCATGTTTAAAATAGAATGTGCAGCACCATGCTCTGTGGCTCTATGAAATCTTTGTGCTATGATGCATTATTTACTATTGACAAATAAGAATAGAATGCAATATTGTTTTAACATACATGATAATGTCAATTGAATTGGAAAATTCAAAGCAACAATTATCAAACTCAATGCACCAACATAGTGAGACAATATTGTTAGCAATCAACCAAATTAGATAAGCTAATTTATATATTTAAAAAATAGCAAATAAAGTACATACAAGAGATTATGCATGGTAGTAGCAGCTAGGAAAAAGCATAAATAATTGCTAGATATATGAGTAAGTGCATAGGTGTCGTCAGAATGTGGTGTCAAGCAATAATGAGAAGGGAGAGTAAAGGGTATTCCCACATTTGTCTATTTGATATTCGACAACATGCCTCTTTTTTGTAACGTGAAGGCTTTCAATTTCCTCTAGGTTCTAGAACTAATTTGCTCACAGTCTTTGGATATCAGATACTCGTGTATTCTATATCAAGTGATTGATAACAATTCACGCCAATTAATGCAAAGATGATGATAACTTTTGAACCGATAAACAACCCACATTTTTTATTCTAGGGTGATTCACAACTTAATCCACATTTTTTATTATAGGGTGATTCACAACTTCTCTAGACGATGATTGTGAGTTTTCTTAATGATGAGATGATCATTGCTTTTAGGATTAACAACTCATGTCATTATCGGTGTAGATTGTAGTTCTTGCAATCTCATTTCTATGGGGGACTAAAATGTTGGAATTGTGATCCTTCATGAGAATCTATGGGTGTTATAAGTGGCTTGACGACATGAATCTTAATATATCTAAGAAGCTTTGTAAACAGATGACTAAATAAATCAATAAACTTAAAAAGATTTAAAATATAAAAAGAATTATAATACTGCATGCCATGAGCACTATATGCTATCGTGCACACCAAGTTATTTTGCGTTGTTGTGCTATTCTTTTCAAATATCATAGGTGTTGGGCTATGCTATGGGCTATGTTTTGCACCATTGGCATATGAGTATTGATATGATTTGCTTAACTTGCATGAAGATATTCATAAAATATTTATTATTAATTATGACAATTCTAAGCTTTCTATTGATATTAATTGGAGATACATGGAGTTTAAGCTAGAGGTAAAGATAATTGTGTTTAGTCAGAATAGATTCCTGCAGAAAATTTCAAGAAATTTAATTCTAAAAAGGCCTTGCAGTTTAAAGTTGTGTCATGCATGGAATTAATGTTTATAAATTAGAAATTCTAGGGAGTTTTAATACTAATTAAATCCTTAATATGTTTGCTCTGACCTAATATTATAAATTTGTTCTCATTTGTTGTTATTTTTTTATTTTCATGTCCTTGTGATTTTAAATGCAACACTTTGCCAGACAGACCTGCGTAGCTTGTTCTTGATGCTATTATAGAATATGAAATTTTGTTTGCTATAGATGGTACTCAAATCCTTAAATATCAAGTGCATTGGTGTGATAAACTTATTTATTATGACTTTTGATTATTTTTGCGAAAAGTTTATCCAGTTTTGCTTGATGAATGTCTATCTTAGTTTTTTGAGTTGAATTTCTTAAGTCTGGCATATCTGATGCAGGCTTTATTATAGCAAACTCTTTAGTAATAGGCTCTTTTATATCCTATTCGTCTAAACTAGTGGCTACTACTGTGGGCTCCTATAGCATAATTGGATGTATTCCTTTAAGGGGAGTATAGCTTTAGTGGTGATTTATTTATAAATTTAAGGATATTATGAGATTTGGGGCTGGTTGTTTGTAATTTCTTGTTTGGATTTTGCATAACTATTGTATAGAATTTGTAGTTTGGTTAACGGTTTCTCTGGTTTAGTTTAACGAAAAGTAACTTATCCCAAGTTAATTTGAATAGTTGGATGCAACCAAGACTTAAATTTTGGAACCGAACTAGACTGATTCTGTGCCAATCAGGTCTATAATTCAGGGATGAGAAATCTACTAGCAGATACCCTGTGATTTGCAATTTTGTTTAGTTTCTGATCAATGAAGTTTTTTCTTTCCTTTTTCTTTTTTGCTTTTTCCGAGTGTAGTGCATGTGATAAGCAAATTCTAAGGTAAAATATCTCCTTGTACCAACATGTACTTGAATTTTTTTCATATTGGTGTTTCTGTACCTTCCTAAATGTTTTACTAGTGCTGCATAGGTCATGATGTTGGTCAAATGTGCTGCAAATAATATTTCAAATGTCGTGCAGATGATCAAGTGCTTGTTGATTTTTTGTTGATCGAATTTCTCTGTAGTTGCTTTGAATCTATTTGATCTTTTCATTTTCATTTTGGGTTTAATTTGTGTTTTTCATATTTACAACCAAAGGAAGTGAAGTTTTACTTTAGTAGTGGTCTTTAATCTTCAAATTTTAATTTCTTGTGTTCTACATTCATTGTGTCATCGTAATTGTGCTAAAACTGTAGACCTTAAGGGTGCTTGAGGAGCTCTTTGATTCATCACCCAATCTTTTTATGCATTATGTTCATGGAGTTATGCTTATAGAGTTATAGATGATCTCAACAGCGCTACAGTGCTTGGAGACTATACTGAGCTCACAATCTCTCAAGAACATTTCCTATTTTACTAATTAATATATTTATCATTTTTGTCATCCTGAATAATACTAGTAGTTCGGTTGTTTGAAGAAGATTTCTATGGACCATAAATTTTTACTATTGACATAAAGATAGTTTTTTGAAGCAAATTGTGGAACAATTTTCTTTTAACATATTTTTTCTTGTAAATAGTACGCATCTGTTTTGCGTTCATTTTTCCCTTCCACAATGTAGGTAGAAAGGTAAATCAAATTTGGCTTTAGAGGTGTTTGGATCAATGATGCAAACATATTACTGCGTTATCTTTCTGAAGTACCTAAGAAGGGCTTGAAGACAACTACAACATTTCTGAGATCCAAATAAATTCTACTCGGCTTTTAATTGTCTAAAGATTATTCTATTCATTTTTTGTATTCCTTCTTATTTCATTTTTCAACCTTGTACATTCTTTTTGCATTTTATTATTTGACCTTCGCAACCCTAGCCATTTTTTGATATTCTTTGATTTGATTATTTGAACCTTTAGAGATGTTTGGATCAATGATGCAACCATTTAATTGTTATCTTTCTGAAATACCTATAGTGGGTTGAAGACAACTACAATATAGTGAGATCTATATACACACATGCCTATTTACTTGGCTTTTTCGTGTCTATTCATTCTTTGCACTTTTTTGGTATTCCTTTTCCATGTAGCTGTTTTGCTTTGGTATGAATTGTGCTAGTGCGTTGTCCTCATTAGGTTATGCTTTCATCGCATTATTCTTTTACTTGACATTCCTTTTTTTCCCCCAATATTAGGATATTTATTCTTTTTGCTACTGATCTGTAAAAGGGATAAACAAAAAATCCTTTCCTTTATAAATTGTTGTGTGGAAGGTTAAGCTTTTTATCTTATTCGACTAGATTTCTGTTGTTGGTAGGTATTTGTTTACATTGTGTTATAATTTGTGAAACTACTGGAAGCTATTATAATGTTCCCACATATGCACATCCTTTTTCTTGATTGTCTTATTAAGAATCAAATTCTAGCTTAAATTTATATAAAAAAAGATCATTTTAAATACTTTCTAATAATGTATTTTTAGATTTATCTCGACTTTTCTTAACTTAGGTCATATCTAATATGTATACTCCTAACAAGGACATTGGAAGGCTGACTTTTTATGTGACCAAGCTGTCTTAGGGCAACTCTCTAATCTTATTTCTCATTGGAGCTATTCAAAGTTTTCACGTATATATTCATTTAGCATTCTTTCTCTAAGTGTAAAGTAATGAATCCACCTGAGCATCCTTATCTCTGCAATACATAACTTATTTCTTTTGCTTTTCTCTTAATGGCCAACATTCTATGCCATAAAGCATTGTAGGTCTCACCATCTTATAAAATTCCCCCTTAAATTTGAGGGCAACTTTTTTATCAAACAGTAGGCTTAATGCATTCATTCACTTCAACTATCCAACTTGAATTCTATTACTAATATCCCAATCTATTATACCATTCTTTTGAACAATAGACCTGAAATATCTAAAAGATGCACTCTTATTAATGGCTTGGTCACCCGATTTCACAATTCCATTACTATATCAATGTCTAATAAAATTACACTTTATAAGTTTTAGATATATTCAAATGAAAAATGATAGACTCTAAGGTTGATCTCCATAATCCAAGTTTTTCATTAACTCTTTCTCTAGTCTTATCAATAAGAAGAATATCATCAGCAAAAAGCATAAATCAAGGTACATCCTCTTGCAAATGTCTAGTAATAATATTCATGACTACATCAAAAAGATATGGGCTTAAAGCTGATCCTTGATGTTATCTGATTGAAATTGGTAAATACTTGGACGTATCAATTTGTGTTTGAACATAAGTAATAGCTCTTGTATGCATGTCATTTTTTTTTGCCCATTGACACAAGTAAAAAAAAAAAAAAATCTTTTGAGCTATTCTAGATAAAAAAAAGACACTTGGCATGTTTATTTCCAGATTAACATAAATGAAATAAATTTCCTGTAGTTAGCATAAACATTTCTCTTGTACAATGCATTATTTTTTTGAAGAACTGCAGGATTTACGGTATCATAACTTTTTTTTTAATCTATGCATTTATGGTGTCTGCTGTGTTTATGATATGCTTTTTCTTAGAGTTCTATGAGAATTTTTTTTGAGGGCTATATAGTTCGTGATTTTAGCTTTGGAGTCCATTGGTATACAGTATGGTCTAAAATCTGTTGTCTGCTAGTTGAAGACAGTTATGATTAATTTTTCTGATGAAGTTAGAATTCTACTGTGTTTTTTATTTGTTTGAGATATATGCATATAATAAATGTTATTTTCCCAAAGTAGTATGTAGCCTGATACTGTTATTTTGCTTGTCTTAACGCCTCTGTTTCTGATCTATGGTTTCGTTTCCTTCTCAAATTGCTGCCGATCGTAACAAATTTTTTTTCTTTGTGCAGCGAGTCAACAACCGCAAGTACTCTTGTGGCTTAGGAGCATTTTTGTGTAATCCATTCTTGCGTGGATCAACCAATCAGCCATTTTTCTTCTTTTTTTTTCCTGCTCCCTTCATCTGCCTTTGAAAATTAATGGATATGACTATTTATTAGTTGCGTCTGTTTTAGAGCATGCTATTTGCTGCAACTGTAGTCTCATTTGCAATTATATTTATTTTTATGTTGATTGCTATGACATTGCCACTTCTGGTAATTTGGTTCGCTTTTTTCTTGCCGAACATAGCAGTTCTGTGCTAATAGCTGCAAAGTGCAAAGATTTGCAATTAGGACGGGCCAATTGTGTTTTGCCAATGAAATGAAGAACCGAACCCTTATAAACACTACTGTGCACGTTATTATTGCTATTTTTTTGGTTCTGTGATGGCACAATTTGTCTTTCATCTTATTAAGCAGAGTATTGTATTAATGCCACAGCTGCACTAAAGTTTCGTTTGAGATATTTTTTATTGTTTTTTAAAACAGTTTTGTATAAAAAATTTATTTTTTTTTAAAATATTTAAAGAAGTAATAAAAAAATCGAAACCAAAGTCTTGATAAACTGATGTGGGATAATTTTGTCATTTAGTTTGAAAATACTTGCTCATTGGCAGACTTTGTGGACTAGTTGCGGATGGTGCTGGTTTGTGCTCTGTAGACTTTTTTAATCATTTTTCTTATTTGTTATTATTATTTTTAATTATTATTTTTTGTGCTTTGTAGACTTTGTGCAAAGATTTGTATTTATGTTGCATATGCAATAAGAACGGCCCAATTGGGGTTTTTCAATGAATGAAGAACCCTCCTAGAAAATCAGAAGATGATCCATATTTTTATAAATGCATATAGAATGCTGAACATGTTATTCTGCTATTCTAGGTCTTGCCTGTAATGGTAAAATTAGGCTTTTATTTTATTAAGCGGAGTATTATATTAATGCCACAGCTTCATAAATTGATGTAGGATGATTTTCTCACCTTCATTTTGGATAGTTTTTTTGCTTTGTTTTAAAATAGTTTTTTTGTATAAAAATTTATTTTATCAAACAATAAGAAACTGTGCCAAATGAAGTCTTAGTTTGAAAATACTTGCTCATAAGCAAACTTTGTGGACGACTACAATGTAAAAATGGTGCTGTCTAATTCAATAAAAGAAGTTTAATTAATTGGCGATTGATTATAGGCTATTCCGTCTATTCGATAAGACAAATGACAATATGCAGAATATTATTAATTAAAGAGTTGATCTTTGGCCAGGCTCGTTGATTGTTGTTGCCCAGTATTTCTTGGCGTGGCGCCAACTAACTAGTTGCGGAAGGTGCTAGTTTGGTGGATTAGAAATAAAGTTGGTGCCACTTGCTGGAGTCCAATTTTATATGGTTGAGTTAATATTAAATGAAAATTATAACAGTTAGCACTCATGCGAGATTTCAATAGCAGTGGTTGGCAGACCAATGTCGAACGTTTGGATAATTTATAGAACTACAGAGGGGTGTCCTAAAAATAGGGGAAATTTACTCTGGTTTTAAATTTCTTTGTCGAAGTCTAGATAACCTTTTTTAACCGCTAGGGATTTCAAAGATGGTATGAATATTGTTATGTTATGAAAAAATTACCTTGATTAGGCACATATTTTGATGATAATATAAATAAAAAAATTACAAAATTAAATTAGGGACCATCCGAACTTTGATTTCAGCAAACTTATAGTCAAACTAAATATCTCAAAGAGACGAATCGAACAAAACAAAAATTGATCCAATCCGAACCCAAATGGGTCCAAATTGTGGTTATGATGTACATTTGGAAGGTTCAAAGCGTAAGTTGGATGATCAAACAATATTCAAATATATCATGCTTATAGTCAAACCGAGCGGCGAGATGAGATGAATCCAACGAGCCCAAGATCGCCTAGTTTTGACTTCATTTGGGCACAAAAATGCTTGATAAATGATCTATGATCAAGAGGATTAACATGAGCCGTCCATTGGAGCACTCCCAATTTGCTCTTGATCTTTTCCATATTTTCTAGCCATGCCACTGTTATAACTAAATAATTTTGAAAAATATATTTTTACCTACAACAATCTAGAATTTATTTAGGAGTCATTATAAGTCTAAATCACAAACTGTCTTCGCCATAACATATTTATTATAGTGTCACTAATTTTTTCATAATTTTTTGGGCACCAGTAAAATTTCTTAAGAAATTGACACCTATCAGTACAAGTAAGGATTTCAGGAACATCAGTTATCAGTTTTGTAAATTAATTTCACATGATTTTTTTAAAGTTATTTTATGAATATTTTTCTATAATTTTTGGAACCCCTAAAAGAATTTATCTAAATTTTATACTAAAAATTGATTAAATTATTATTATTTTATAAAATAAAAATATCTATAAGCATAATATATTTATTAAATGGCTTTAATCCCATTTTTTCCTTTCATTTCATGCAATAGAAAAGGCTTTGGAAAAAAACGAGAAGAGAGGCGAGACATGTTATGTTTTGCCTATTACATTTTTCAATAATTCAATATTTTTTTGATATTTTTCTAATCAAATTTGTATTTTTCGTTACTGAAAAATGAGGATAACATTATTTTGATAAAACTTTTAACACATAACTTTTTATATGTTATATAGACTGCGATTATGAATATTTTGAATATATTATGAAAGTTTTTTTCCCACTAATTTTAAAAAAGCAATGATTTTTTCCTAGTGAAAAGTTTTTTTAATATCAAAAAATTGTAATTTAGTTTAATTAAAGCTTGAATTTGTGAATTTTTACTTAGTAATATTTCTATTGTTTATTGTTATAACATTTTGACAATTTTTGAATTCAATCCAATTATGCTTTAAATAATGAAATTCATTAAAAAATATTAAAGAAATGTGATGTGATGTGTGATGATGTGATGTGATGTGATGCCGGTGCTAGTGTATGATCGAGGTGGCATTCTGTTACCAAAATATTGTGATGCCGATGCTAGTGGGCGTCTGAGATGAGATTATTTTACCGATGTATTGTGATTCCAGTGTTAGTAGGCGTTCGAGGTGGGTTCTATTTTGGGTTTCTAGTGGGTGTCGATGTGAGATTTTAGTAACAAAGATATATATAATTTTTTTAGCTTAAGAGCTATTTTGTTAATCATTATGAAGTGTTTGTTTGTAATTCAATTAATTTCAGTATTTGTTTAATTGCATGCAATTTTAGTATATGACTTAACTCAATTTTTAGTTATTAATTTTTATTTTAGGCTGTGATAGCCTATTGAGCTGTGTTAGCTCATCCCTATTTTTCTTCTATTTTTAGGTCTAGGGAAGGGAAAGGAGCGAGTTGAGTATTTTAGATAGCATGCTCCAATCTTTGTTGTAGGTATATTATGGTTAGTTTTGATTTTTACAGACTTGACATTTATTTTGTTACCCTTTTTTTTGCTAAGCATTGTTGTAGATAGCCTTTAGATTGTATAAATTTTGGATGATATATTAAAAAAATATTTTGAAATTTAGTAGTCTTCTATTATATTGCATTTAATAATAACTATGTAGTATATATATTAAAAGTGTTATTTCAGTCTTCTCTAACTAGATCTTGGGGTCAATCTTACTACAATTAGATATGGTATGACTTCTATGGTATCAGGTGGGTTGTGATAAGATTTTTGGTTTTAGAGCATGGTTGGATATGTGAATTATAATAGAGCTATACGATTTAATCCATAGAAGAGTGAGATGCTTCTGGGTAGTTTGAGCGCTCATTTTGTTTATTTTTATATGTATGTGTTACATTCAATTGTGTTTAGTATTTTTGAGATGGCTGATCAAGCTCAGCTAGATCCATAGGTGGTTGAAGTTCTAATCAAATATCGGAAGGTAATATTCGACAAGCTACTATTCTGAAGCATCAGAATGATGATGGAACATTTAAATCTTCAAGGAGTGCTCTGATTATTAAGGAAGTTACTGAACTTGGTCTTAAGAAAGTCTTCAATGTATCAGGTAAGGGTAAATCTAATTTTGAAGAATTAGACTTCGTAACTCCTCGGCAGGAGAAGATTCGATCACCTGTGAAATCTACCAAACTTGGAGCTTCATCATCAGGCATGAAAATTTTTATTAACCAATTTGAAAATTCAAATGCAATCCTTGGTAATAGTGCGATAAGAATTCACCTATGTTGTTTACAAAATTTTTTTATGGCAAAGACGAATGTATGAGGTTGATAAGGATGATGTTCTCATGCTGGAAAGTAATGAGGCAATGGGTAAATATGTGGAAAAAGATAGAGTTCTAAAGAATATTGCTAATGATGGTAAAAATAATGAAACTGCTGGATTGAAAGATGAGGTTATTTCAGCTTAGTCAAAACCACAAAACATCAAATGCTCTTACAAGTTTGAATGACTGGAAATATCAGAGGATGGGATAGCAATAAAATTGAATGCTGATTTGGAATACAAAAACTCACAAATTTTGTAGAATTCGCTTGTGGTAAAGATTTTGGAAATAGTCCATCATTTTCAATATGAAGTATGGAGTTGAGAAGGCAATGGAATAAATTTGGTAATTTTCATATGACTACACTTGGTATAGGTTGGATTTTATGTTCTTTTAAGAATTCTGATGCAATGGAAGAAGTACTAAATGGTGGTCCATGGTATGTTGGAGGGCACATTATTGGAATGGACAAATGGTCTCCTTCATTTGATCCAAGTTCATTCAAAGATATTACAACACCTATTTGGATTCAGTTTCCATGCTAACCTTTATTTTGTTGGGATGAGGAGAATATTGCAATAATAGCTTCTTATATTGGTATACCAATATATTTGGATGGAAACTCTTTCAAATGGGGAAAAAGAGAGTATGCTCGGGTATATGTAAGGATTAATTTGGAAAATAAATTACCAAATGGTGTTTGGGTTGATGGAACCACATGTAGATTCTTTCAAAGTTGGAGTATGAGAAAATTGATTTACTTTGCTACCATTGTGGCAAAGTGGGGCATGATAGATCAGTTTGTCCAGAAGATGCTGCAATTCCAAAGAAAATCCAACCTATGAAGCAAATGATTAAAATAGGAAGTGATGTCCAAGTTTCAAAGGAAGTAAAGGATTATGATGTGGGAAAAACTGAGTCTGGCCCATGGATTCTAGTAAAATTAAAAAATAATAGATTCAAAAAATGGAAGGTTCAATGGTGGAGGCAAAACTTTGAGAAATGCTAAATGTAATATTCAGAAAGTGGATAATATCAAAAATATAGAAGACGAAGTACCAAAACAGATCAGAAAGTCTAATGTGGATATGGAATCATTGTCTGAAACAATAGTTGC